GACAAATACCCACCATTTGCTTTGATGTTGATAGAACTGAAGGGTATTATGCTGAGTGAAATAAGTCAATGGGAGAAGGACAATCATTATATGGTTTCATTCATTTGGGGAATATAAAAAAATATTGAAAGGGAATAAAGGGGAAAGGAAAGAAAATGAGTGGGAAATATCAGAGAGGGAGACAGAACATGAGAGACTCCTAACTCTGGGAAACAAACAAGGGGTGGTGGAAAGGGAGGCGGGTGAGGGGTGGGGGTGACTGGGTGACGGGCACTGAGGGGGGCACTTGATGGGATGAGCACTGGGTGATATATTATATGTTGGCAAATCGAACTCCAATAAAAAATAACGAATTAAAAAATGGCTTCCCAACCACCTTTTTATAACACATGCACATGGGCGTACACGCACATGCACACACACATCCAGGCATACACACACAGGCACACACAACGCACACACACAACTTGTACTTCCCTTCCCACATTCTCTTCTTTCAAATAACTCCCAGTCTTACCTTCTTTCAATAGAATATCATCAGCTGCCTCAGCAGGCTTTATTTTAAATCCCTTCTTGCAAGAGTATCAACTTACACTGGTGACCAAAGTACAAATCTAAATTAAAAAAAAGATTATAGCTACCATTCCTTGAGTGTTTGAGTGCTTTCCCTGGGTCAGACATTGTTCTAAAGGCTTTACATGAATTATTTTATTAAACATTCACAAGAACCCAATGAGATAGGCATTGTAATTACATTTATCTTACATAAGAGGGATCCGAAGCACGGAAACACGTGATCAGTCACCAAGTTAATAAGAGACAGAAACAGAAATCAAACTCAGGCAACCTGTCCCTTAATGTAGGAACTGTATAAATATTCTTTCCATGGACTTATTAACAAGTTAGTGTCTAAAGTATTCCAAGGTACCAATAAAAATAGAAGGAAATAAATAGACGAGTATTTTAATTATGATTGCTAAAACTGCAATGCTAATTATGAGATATTCAAGGACTTCCCAAGATACTCTGCAGTGTCACACAACACCATAGTGGGTGGCATCTGATGAAGAGCTGATTGTATTGTTTATTACAGGCAGAAAATATTTTATAGAAATTAAAAGATAAAATGTAGAATATAGACTCTGTCACAATAAAATTCTGTGACAATCTCTATTTTTCATTGGAGAAATGAAATCAATATCTATAAAATAGGTTGTTTTAAGAATTGAATTATATACCACATGCTGGCAAATTGAATTTAAATAAGATTTCTAAAAAGAATTGAATGGGATAATTCATGTAAAGCACTTGATGCAGCATTTGGTCCTGGATGTTTAAGTAAATATTTATTATTTTTAATAGAGGGTATACAAGCTGGAAGTAAAATATTTGTACCAGCAAATCAGTATACTAATGTGACAGAGATGATCTGTGAACAAACAAACTTTATGTCCTTGGGCAATCTGTTTTCTCTCTTGTGGCAAACTATGAGGTCTCACAATTTCAAGATCTCTGAGTCTTTTAACAAAAGAGTCTAGAAAGCAGCCTCAAGTATGTGACGGCATCAAATGTCACAGGCTGTCTATATCTAATCTGCTACAGACTATAAGTGGCCACATAGACTCATAATACATACACACATAAATGTGACCAGTTACACTCTGTGGCTATTATATAATAAATAAATACATGGGAGAGTCATGTTTCTAATCTCAAATACGCCCATGGATATAATAACAAGAGCTGACATTAATGGAACATTTTAGTGTGTGTGTCAGATATATGCATCATCTCAAGAAATAATGATGAAATTAAATATATTTGAATTTCAGTTTGTAGCAAAACTTTGTGTACTGAGGGAGGAAACTGACACCCAAAGTAGAGACGTTATCCAAGATTCTATCTCAAGCATCTGCTACCCTTCAGGACGCTGTGTTCTGAAACTAATGCCTCTATGTGGGTGCAGATTGGGTGAATTGATCAATTAATAAGTCAACTGAGAAATGGCAAAAGGACCTCCAGTTAAATAGCGATTATCTAGTGCTTGACCTTTGGCCTTTTTCTTAATATTGTGAAGTATTTAATGAGACTTGGTAACCAACTGGCAAGTCTCCCTCTGACAGTTTTAGCAACATGGCCCTGAATTTAAGAGACATTATGTCTTCCAGGCAATATGAATTGTATTTCAAAAACCAGACCAAATATTCAAATCATCTGCTGGATTCAGTTCAACCTATTTGTGTCCATGTCTGAATATCTTAGCGAATGCTATGGAGCTGATGTCTTCCATCTTGTACTATGCTCAATCTTTACATACATGGGGTGCAAAGAACAAAACCTGACATGTGCTACAGTGGCTCAAGTATTCAGAGAGCCTACTCTAAGACAGAATATACCAAGACCCAAGTGTGAAGATGACAGTGGAAGACAATTGTCAAGGTGGGAGGATTCCCATCACTAAAGAAGAGGTTAAATGTTCCATTTAAGAAAATTAGAGGATTAGGGGCACCTCTGCCTTAGCTCTGGTTATGATCTCAGGGTCCTGGGATCCAGCCTCATGAAGGGCTCCCTGCTCAGCAGGGAGTCTGCTTCTCCCTCTCTCACTGCTCCTCTATCCCCCAGGCTCACATGCACTCTATCTCTCTCTCTTTCAAAAAATAAAATAACATAAAATAAAATCTTAAAAGAATAAAAAAGAAAATTAGAGGATTAAAAGTAATTACTGAAAACACCCTTTGGGAAGATGTGGTATATGTATACAATGGAATATTAGCCATTAGAAACAACAAATACCCACTATTTGCTTCACGTGGAGGGACCTGGAGGGTATTGTGCTGAGTAAAAAAAGCCAATCGGAAAAGGACAAACATAATATGGTCTCATCAATTTGGGGAATATAAAAATTAGTGAAAGGGAATAAAGGGAAAGGAGAGAAAATGAGTGAAAATATCAGTGAGGGTGACAGAACATGAGAGACACCTAACTCTGGGAAATGAACAAGGGGTAGTGGAAGAGGAAGTGGGCGGGGGGGTTGGGGTGACTGGGTGATGGGCACTGAGGGGGGCACTTGGTGAGATGAGCACTGGGTGTTATGCTATATGTTGGCAAATTGAACTCCAATAAAAAAAATAAAAATAAAAAATAAATAAAAGAAAGAAATTAAAAAAAAAAAAAGAAAACACCCTTTGGTATGGCTTGGAGAACAGTGATATAGAGAAAAGATATAGAGAAAGCATTGCTTTACTAAGTGTGACCAGCAATACCTTCTATAAGTTCGGGAGACAGTCTCTGAGACCCCAGAGCAGAGGCTTCATGAGACTTCATCTTCTCAGTGTGATGTCCTCACATGCAAAAAAGCATTTCATGATATTTGTTATTTACATATGCTATTTTGAAATGTGTTTAACCCTGAGCTAGGAGAAAAGCATAGGTGACCTAGCCCAGGGCACTGAGTGTGTACAAAACAATTGTTTAGGCAAAATGCAAATGCAACTATTATGGTCCATTTGTTGATATTTGGGAATTCACTGAATTGAGGCTTCTATGTGAGTATCTGAATATGAAAATAACCTGCATCAGATTTACTCATTTTGATCAATATATGGTAAAGCAAATGTAGCAAAATATTAATTGAAGATCCTGGTGGTGTGTTTATGGGTTTTCACTGCATAATTCTTTCAACTTGTTTGGATTTTGGAAATTTTCATAATGAAACTCTGGTTAAAATTATCTGGTCTTTAAGTATATTTAAATAGGTTAATAATATGGGGTTTATTATATGGGAGAAATACACACACACACACATATGTATCTACATAATCAGGCCTTCTGGCTCACTGAGCCTGTTCTGATGTTCATATGAATCCCAGTCAGTACAGAGAACAACTGCGGAAAGACAAAACAATGTTGCCTTTTTACTATAGAAAAATTTAAAACTTGTCCTTTTTGATGCCCTAAAATTGCTGACCTGGTTAAAAGAAATCACTCATTATTTTCAAAACTGCCCTTCTAAAGAAGCTGAAATGAAAACCAAGCACTATCCAGAACCACTAAATCTGAGGACTTTTTAAAATTAGAAGAAATTGTAAGAATCGCCTACTTCACTCCCTTCCCAGGGCTGAAATTGTCTTTAGACTTCAAGAATGTTTATCTGGCATTTCCTTATATTGGAACAAGTTCTGCTACCTGGAACTACACAGATCAAATAATACCTTTCTCCTCCATGTCAATGCCTTTTACATGATGAATCCAATGGCAACATCACTCCTAAGTCTGTCTATACTCAAGCCTATATTTTCTACTACAATCAACCAACCTTCTGCTATATTTTCTAGACCCCACTTTATCCAGGTCATTTTCCTTTAGACAAGCCTCAATTAATTCAAATTTTCTTAAATAGTTCACCCACCTTTGAGCACAATATTCCACTGTTTTTATAATATTGAGTTTATGACCGTCTAGAAATCCCAAGGTAATTTTCACATAAGCTTCTGTGTGGCATAATAGCTTGAGGCAAGAAGGTCAATAGTGTAATGTTATTCTCAAACATAAGGTCTCTTGTGTTTTGTTCCCTCATAAAAAATACATTATACATCATCATTCCCCGCTGGACGCGCTCATCACTTATTAATGACCCATGCCTCATGCATTTTTTACTGGCTTTTAAAATATAATTTGAGGTAAATAATTGGCACATCATTTATTTGTAGGAAAATGTCATGGGAATCTCTGTTTGGATATACAAACTTGCAAGGGCAGTAAGAGTACTGACAAAAGATAAATCACCTCTTAACAATAAAAAAAAAACCTGAACACTGAATTTACCACTCTCCCTGATGGATTCCACGATTTTTTTTTCTTTTCTGTAAGATATGTGTCTGATAGAAGCATATTAAATTTTGGATATTTATGGGAGTTGGGGTGTGAAACTAGTTTTAAAAATGGCAATCCACTCAGGAAGTAACACCTTCCAGTTTGTGAAAGTTACTCTATAATTTTTTTAAACAAAGTGACAGTGTTTAGCAATTAGGGCGGAGGATTTTTCAAATATATAATATGGTGGTGATCAGGATGATTTCTTCAGAAAGCATCTACTGAAGAGTTACCCGTCACTTCACCCAACAAGCAAGTCTGAAACAATAGAGTCTGACATGAAGGCTTCCATTTTCCTTCCCTTTGTGTTCGTGGCCATGTTCTCAGGTAAGAAAAGTTACTTTTGATGACTTTCCTTCCATAGGAATGTTGAGTTATTAGTAATACTTTGTCAGAGAACGTTAAAATGACAAATCTCTAACAGACAGAGAAAAGAAGAGTGTCATTTCAGACAGCATAAATACAGGCCGAAGGCATAAAGGTAAGGACCAGGTGAAAGAACACAGCATTATCTGGTGCTGCTGCAGAGAAGCACACGCAGGGGAAAGGGGAAAGCCACACGTTACACTGGGAAGAAAATGCAGTCTAAAAGGATTATGAGAGTTTGGGAATACTCTCAAGCCATGTTGATAAAAAGAAAATAGGGTTTTGTGTTGGATGATCTGGGGCTGTGTGGTAACAAAGAAATGGGTTCAAACTCTGGCTTTTTAGTTTCTTGTTTATGTTATTTTAGGCAACTCCATTTTTTAATCTCAATTTTCTCTGTTATAAAATGCAAACAAATATGCATTCCTGCCATCTATCGAAAGAATCACATATACACTGCTTAGCCACCATTACCTGAGTTGTCCACAGCTGTCACCCGGCATACTTCTCTCCATTCCTTACCTGAATGCAGTTGGGTGGTCTGTGTTCAAAGCTGAAATGTCCAGCCTGGGCTGTCAATTTCTCTAGGTGATAAATGACACAGATATTCTAGATTTTTATAATATATGTGTCAGAGAAAATGGATACATTACACATATATTTATTATTATGTATGCTTCAGAGAAAAATGCATATAGACAAAAACCCTTCCTAGAACATAAATGTTTTATAATGACAGGTACCATATACCTTTGTACACCACCTTGCCGGATGACAGTGAGTAGGTAGTGAGCAGATATTTGTTGTTAAAGAAAGTATATTAAAGCCAGATGCAGTGGCTCTATGGATTTGAAGGGTGAAGGGAAAAAGAGCAATCAGAGGGGTGCCTGGGAGGCAAGGTAGGTTAATCGCTTATCATCTGCCTTCAGCTCAGATCATGACCCAAGGTCTGCGATCCAGCCTAAGGCTCCCTGTTTGGTAGGGACACTGCTTCTCCCTCTCCCTCAGCCTGACGCTCCCTCTGTTTGTGCTCTCTGCTCTCTCTCTTTCTCATCTCTGTCAAATAAAACTAAAATCTTTTTTTTTTTAATTTTTATTTATTTATGATAGTCACAGAGAGAGAGAGAGGCAGAGACACAGGCAGAGGGAGAAGCAGGCTCCATGCACCGGAAGCCCGATGTGGGATTCGATCCCGGGTCTCCAGGATCCCGCCCTGGGCCAAAGGCAGGCGCCAAACCACTGCGCCACCCAGGGATCCCAAAACTAAAATCTTTAAAAAAAAAAAAAAGGGAGAGAGAGGAATCAGGAATTCCTACTGCAGCATAAATCAATGCCAAGAGTATATTTGGTGTGTAAAATCAGAAGAGCAAAATTAAAAAGAAAAAAAAAAGACTGAGGTTAATTATTTTACAAAAGTTTAACTTCAAAAAATGATTAAACCACATTCTAATATCTCTTTTTTACTTAAAAATTCCACCCCCAGTTTTTATTTTACAAATTTAACCATGTGAGCAATGCTATACTGCTCAGAATCCATTATACCATTGTTTGTACTACAAAGAGGAAACACAATAGCTTCTCATTGCTAGAAGGCCATCTAAATAAATTGTGCTAAATGTAATAAATGAAATAGTGTGTAGCTCTTGGGGAAAATCATACAGATGCTCTATAGTACTGATAAAGAAAAAACTCACTATACCGTGCAGAGAGAAACTAAGGAGTAGAGCAGTGTACAATGTGCTACTAATTATGTGGAAAATATATCCCAATGTGTTCGTAAATACATAAGACATCTCTTGGCTAATACAGAAAAACTGGGTAAATGTAACTGTGTGCAAAGGGGTTTGAGAAGGGAGAGAAACAGAAAGTGACTTTAAACTATTCATCCTTTTGTATCTTTAAAATTTGAGGTATTTGCTTGTATGACCTATTAAGCAAACATAATTAACAAGAAAATAGATCATCCTTTTAAGACTTTTAAGATTTTATTTATGGGACACCTGGGTGGCTCAGCAGGTGAGCACCTGCCTTCAGCTAGGGCGTGATCCCGGGGTCCTGAGATCGAGTCCCAAATTGGACTCCCTCCATGGAGCCTGCTTCTTCCTCTGCCTATGTCTCTGCCTCTCCCTCTCTCTGTCTCTCATGAATAAATCAATAAAATCTTTAAAAAATATATCTTCAAATATTACATGATTCTAAAACATTGGATTACACATATAAAAAGCAAATAAAGTAAAAATATTACATTAAAAAAAGATTTTATTTATTTGAGACAGAGAGTGAGTGAGTGAGCAAGAGAAAGGGAGCATGAGCCAGGGGAGGGACAGAGAAGCAGACACCCCACTGAGCAGGGCCCCCAACACTGGACTCACCCAGGACCTCAGGATGATTACCTGAGCCTAAGGAAGTACATTAACCAACTGAGCCACCCAGACAGACCAGCTGGTTGGATTTATTTCCATCCAACTCTTTATTCTAATGGATTTCTTCTCCAAGTTAGTGCCTGCTAAGGAACACTGTTCGGTTCTCATAACTCATGCATATACTCATCTCTCTGCTGAACATGATTAGTTTCTTATCCATTTTTAATGGCTAGAGCCTTCTCTTCTTATGTGTCACTTCCTCCAGCAAGAAGAGATGATGCCCTACTGTCTGCTATCTTGAGTCTGGGTCTGTTGTCTAATTTACTTCTCACATTTTCACTTCGATCGTACTACTATAAATGCCTGTGTGCTTGTTTGCACCCACTAGGAGACTTTCAAGCTTCTTGAGGCCAGAATAATAATGTCATATTGTGTGTCTAGATCTCACTGTAATAATGTTGTATGTCTAGATCTTACTGTAGTTCTGGCACAGTAATGGACTCTTCAAATAGACTTCTTGGTAAATTGAAAGAATGACTAGATCATACCCACAGACCCCACCCCACGCTATGCACAGTTAGTAAGCCAGGTTACTGAGTGCCAAGCTCCTGAGCCGGGCCTAAGACCTTGACCACCAGTAATAGAGTATACCATAGCATGCTCAATGGGTAACAATTAATGAGGCGTTTGTCTTCTGTTAACTTTACTGGAAGGCACAAGTATGTGTATTTGCAGAAATATAAAGTGGGCCTATTGCTAATACAAGTGAATCTCAGGTATTGTCTGGAACCATCCATACCACAATGATTTCAGGTTTAAAAATTGAAAAAAATTACCAAGGAAGCCTGTGAAGAAAAACAATGCAAGCCTGAAGACAACTTTGAGGAAGCCTCAAATTGCGAAAGTGAGGGGAAAAGGATAATCATTAAACAGAAAAAGTGAGGAAGCCAAAAAGGAACCCTCGTACCAAACCAAGGACATGAAACATAAGACCCACCAGAATTCCATAGCATCAACAGCTATAAAACCATTCCATTCACTTATGGATTGTTGGCTAAACCCTGCTTATTTTGGAATAGAATTTGAATAAATCATATGTGTATAAATGTATGTGTATATATGTATATATATGAGATAACTATATATGTATATAGTGATGGGTAAACTTCCAAAACAAATTTGAGAAACAGAGTAGATGAGTTATGAAACACAGGGATTAAGAAATAGTCACAAAAAATAAAAATTTGGAGTAGTATGAAGGCAAAATAATTCAGCTCAAGTAAATCAAACTTTGGTTTAGAAATGGGGCAGGCTGGTTTGACCCCATGATTCTTAGGAACCAGGTGATACAGTTAGGTAAAAAATGCAAGAACCAAACATTAAGGTTATGAGAAGTTATGCAAAGCTTCTGTCTTGAGGTTTTGTTAAAAACAAATCAAAGAGGCATGAAATGCATACTATTTCTGGGGATGAATGCTGTTAATTTTAAATTCTTAAATATAGATAACCTTACTTTTGTGCTTATGGTATCATTCCAGTGACTTCAACCCAGACTTGGAAATCCAGTGTTTTTAAACCACAAGAAGGTACAGAGCCTGCATTTATTCTAGAGAGAAAAAATGAAGCTAACCATCAAAGAGAACAGCAGGCATCTAATCAGCAAGGAGGTGGCAACACAGAAGGAAAACAAGTGACATTTAGTCTGCAAGGACAACCAGAGTATTCTAATCAGCCAGGAAAACAAGGAAATTTTAATCAGCAAGAAAGGCCAGGAGTTCTCAATCAGCCTGGGAGTCTGCAAGAGAATTCAAGGGACTGTAATCAAAAAGGGAATGCAGAAGCTTCTAATAAACAAGGAAAACCTGGATCATCTAGCCAGCAAAGGGATCCAGGGTCGTCTAGTCAGAAAATGAAGCCAGGGTCATCTAGCCAGCCAGGTGGTTCAGGGTCATCTAGCCAGGGTTGGCATCCAGGGTCATCCAGCCAGCAAGGGAAGCCAGGATCATCTGGCCAACAAGGGGGTTCAGGGTTGTCTAGCCAGCAAGGGAAGCCAGGATCATCTGGCCAGCAAGGGGGTTCAGGGTCATCTAGCCAGCAAGGGAAGCCAGGATCATCTGGCCAGCAAGGGGGTTCAGGGTCTTCTAGCCAGCAAGGGAAGCCAGTGTCATCAAGCCAGCAAGGGGGTTCAATGTCATCTAGACAGCAAGGAAGACCAGGATGGTATAGCCAACAAGGGAAATCAAGGTCTTTTCATAATCAAGAAGAAAGAAAAAATGTAGGCAACCCTTTGAGTGCCAGTATAACGGACATTCAGGTTAGTGTTCATCTCTTTTTCCCTCTCTGCCATTTTATGTTCCAAGACTTGAAATAGTTAACAGAATATACTGTAGTAATAACGATTGGTGGTGATGATGATCCAACAAATGAGGAGGAACCCGGAGATGGTCGTTTTCAGATACACCGACGGTCATTAATGAGTGTCGTGCTCTTCCACTTTCACTTCCCATTCCCTTCTACCATCTTCCACTCCAGCCTTTCTCCCAATACTGGACTAGGTGAGACCTTCCTGAACAGAATCCCCAACCCCGCCACATTTAACATTCATGCCCATCTCCATCCCATCCATAATCTACAAGCCCCTCAAGTGGTATTTCTAAATCACAAATCTGATCTGATCCATCACCGCCCTGCTGGAAATTCTTCAATGGCGCCATATCGCCTAGAGGATAGGACCCAAACTCCTGAGCATGGCATTGAGGATTTTGTAATCATTGGATATGATTGGACATTTCATGTCACTCTGGTCACACATCATCCACTTTTACACGTTCCTTTATTTTCCACAAATGTATTCCTAATACTGGTGATACCCTCTCTCATAGATGTTGCTCTGTACTTGATTGTATGTTCAGTTGGATCATGAACTCCTCTAAAGAAAGTGCCAGTTCTTTGGAAATCTGGGTCCCCAGATTCTAGAACAACTAATAGGTTCTCTCGAACCTCTTGTCAGATGAGTGAATAGGTGATGTGTGGGAGACATTGTTGCAAACAGCTGCACATCCAGGTCTCCCGTGTTCCCTTTGAGTCCTGCTGTGCTTTGCCTTCACTCGCCAGTCTCTCTGTCTCCCAACTGCCATGTAACAGTGATCCTGGGCACTGCACCTGCTAATCCAGAACAGATTTGTAGGATACATCCTCCACCTCATTATCTTCACGGGAACTTCATTTTTTTACCTCAGATTTGTCACTCCTGACTTGGCTCCCTTTCAAATGAAAATTGCGTGTCCCTCTCCATCCTTATGTCTAGGTGGACATGAAGTAGTGGTCTCCCAGGGACGGTCCTGCTGTCCACAGCTTACTGCCTCCTCCAGCGTGTTTCCAAGTGTTTAGAGGCCACTTCAAAGCTTTCTCAGGAAGCTCTTCAGAAACATGTGACAACCCTGTCCATTTCACAGACTGTGTGGAAGGAAAGTAAGGCAGTGCTATGAAATGGTGGTAGAGTGTCGACCAACAGGAAAGACTGAGCTATTTGTCCAGCTTCCTTGGTCCTAAGAAGACTAAGCCTCCTGTTGAAGATCCTCACAATTTCAGTCAGTGTCTCTGTTCTCATCTGCTGTCAGAGCTCCTTTGTGCTCACAGATGTGTGTCATTCTCTAAGTCGACTCTAAGCAACTGCCTCGGGTAGTACTTAAGTCTGCACAATCCTACTACCTGCTGCCTCATTTCCTTTTGTGAGACAAGAAAAAAGAAAGGTTTGGTAAATCATGGCCTCTTTGGGGGCAGCTGTGTGTCAGTCCATCCAGTGTCTGACTCTTGATTTTGCCTCAGGTTGTGGTCTCAGGGTCTGTGACACCCTCATGGTGAACCAGCTAAAGAGTCTCTCCCTCTACCCCTCCCACCAGCCCTCTCCCACACACACTCTCTCTCTTCTCTTTTCTATATATATATCTCTCTAATAAATAAATCTATAAAAATATATAATTGGGAAGCCTGGGTGGCTCAGCAGTTGAGCGTCTGCCTTCTGCTCAGGGCATGATCCCGGAGTCATAATGTCTTTTCCATAATTATTGTTTTCTCAGTGAGGGGAAGATTTGTCTACAAAGAATTAACGTGGAGGCAGTCTCACATGTAATGAGGGCAGGGGTTCTAGAGTCCCATAATTCAGGGTTTGAAACCCAGCTTGGGTATTTATCCATATCTGGTCTTGGGCTTTTCACATAAATATACCATATCCTGCAATGATACAATAGAGCTAACCCTAGACATTTTTTCTTCAGGATTGTTGTGTAGTTTAAAATAAACGGATTCACAAAATGATTGGCTTAATGCAATGCTTAATCAATAATTTTGAGCAATAACTGTTAGTTTTATTATAATTCTCAGAATTAAACTGAATTCCCTTTATGTGCCTAATGGTCTTTCCCATTACTGCAGACAGACAAAACCAGCAGCAAGAACCCAACTGGACATACAAAATGTCAGTCTATCTACAAGCCAGTCTGTGGTTCTGATGGAAAAACCTATGGGAATCGTTGTGTATTCAATGAAGCCAAAAGGTAAGCTGATGCTGTGTCTTTGTATCAGGAAGTATGATTCTGATCCAAAAGGAGTCAAAGAACATTTTTCTCTGTGTCTCTGTAGTTTTCTCAATAGCACCTTGGGTGTTTGTCAAAGGACACATGACCGGTATTAACCCTGAACAGTAAATTCAGGCATTTTCTGAAAGAATGTGATACATTCAGCTTTTTAAGTAGGAATAAATTTATTATTGAGTCATTGAGTCACAGATTCATTAAACTTCCACTGTAAACCAGGCATTGCATGTGTGGAGGTGAGGAGGTGAGCAAAACACACAGAATTGCTTCCTGCTTCCACAAAGCTTTCCATTTTGCAGTTGAAGACAGCAAACAAAATGTATCAGAGGATAAACACAGCTACGAACCCCATAGATTAATTCAGCCTATTAAAATGTATCTTAAATTTAAATAACAATATTGAAGAATAGATTTAGTGAGCGTGAGCCAGGCAAACATTTCAAGGTTGCCCTCTTTTTCATCCACAAGAAATACAAATCCTAAGGTGGTTTAAAATTAGAACATGGGACTCAGAAAGAGTTACATGTCTCAGCTTTCAAAATTAATGAAGGGCTGCAAAGATAGTAATGAGGTAAAAATTACACCTCTCTTGTTTTTGGTCGTTGAATTACTTATGAAGGCTGAATAAATTGTTCGGGCAGAAATAAATAAATGTTAAAGGTCAGTGTGCCCTAGAGCAATAAAAATTGGAGCGGGAAGAAACATAAGATGCCCTTCTCTCATTTTATACCTAAGACAGCTAGCCCAGGGACAAGGAACACCTGGCACACAGTCACAATTTCTCAAAGCAGTCAGTATGAAACAGGCCAGCCAAAGCCCCAACTTGCTCTTTCCCATTATTTTTAAATAATCTCATTTTCTCTCTGTGTTGGTGCCACAGTTTCTTGATCCTTAATTTCTTTCATTATCTCATTTTCAGGATGAGTAATGGAAAACTGAATCTGAACTATGAAGGGAAATGCTAGCTTTGACAGCAACCGAATTACCTGGAACCTCAAAATCTACTTTCACTTCTCCTTAAACAATGGGTTTCCTTGGGCGTTCTGCTGAGGTCAGCAAGAGTCTTGCCAATAGGATGGATCCTTCATTATTTTCAAGGTTGTTCCACTACAAATAAAGTCAGTTCCAGAGTTGCTTCTGATTTCTGGGATCATTTATTTTCTAGACTTTCCCAAATTCATGGATATAGAACACAGATTGATTTTTGCCCGACACAGGGCATTAGGGTGAGAAAAATAGGTGAAATTCTTAACAAGTAATACTGAGTTATAGGTCAGTGTTTATGAACACTTCAAACAATTAATGGCATTGATTTTCAAGGGATAGAGATAGAAATTTTAGCCAGTCTCCTGAGATAAGAAATGGTCTAGGGTTAGGTAAATACATTTAGCTGCCTAGATTATATCCCCCCTGACTTATTTATAAATGGTTCGGTCTTCCCTACTGACACCACTACTCCCTGATCAATTCTCCTGAGAATAGCTCAAATTACAGATACACTAGAAAAATCCCAAAGATTGGCAGAGATTTCAATGTGATCCAATGTAGATCCATTGATCTACATTATCCCTATCACATTGTCCTGAAGAGTCCCAGTCCCCACTGCCACCAAAGATTACCTTGTACAGTATCAACTCTACCACTCCCAACTAGCTGAAGCTTTCTATTTCTCAGGGCTGCACAATCAGAGCTATCTGGGGGGGAATGACAGCCCAGGATGGGTAGGGTAAAAGCCTATCAGACAAGGCCTGCAGTCTTCGCGCAGCTGATGAGAAGTGATTGAGCCAGCTCCATAAAGGTTAACAACCCATTAAGAGGTCATGGAAAGATAAGGTCAGAAAGACACAGGGGCTGGGAAGGGGTGGAAAAGTACTTCTTTACTATATTCAGAAAAAAGGAGACAAAAGTTTTAAGGCAAATAAGTAATATGAACAAAGGCCTTAACCCATAAGGTTATCTTATAAAGCAAATCTTTTCTGGTATCTGACAATGCATATAGAAGCACCAGAAAATTCAGGCCAGGGCCAGTTGTGTACACAACTTTAATGATTTTCAAGAATTTTTATTTCCTTCTAAAAGACATGCAAAAAATTTGATCATTCTGAGCAGGAATGAAATGAGTAAATTTTCATTACTAAATATGCTTTAAAATTTTTTTAAAAGATTTTATTTATTTATTCATGGAGACAGAGAGAGAGAGAGAGAGAGAGGCAGAGACACAGGTCGAGGGAGAAGCAGGTTCCATGCAGGGAGCCCGACATGGGACTCGATCCCTGGTCTCCAGGATTGCGCCTCGGGCTGCAGGCGGCACTAAACCGCTGAGCCACCCGGGCTGCCCCTAAAATTTTTTTTAATTTAAATTCAATTTGCCAACATATAGTATAACACCCAGTGCTCATCCTATCAGGTGCCCTCACTAAATATACTTAAGTTACTTAATACTTACATAACAATCAGAAATATCATACAGTGTTTCAAAAGAATAAATTGATTTGAATAAAATCACATTAAAATAGGCTCGGTTGTTATTAAATAAATAAAAACAGTCACAGAGCAGTTTATACAAAGTTCCTATTAAATACAAAACTGCTAGTTTAGAACAGGGGGAAATGGTTGTAATGAAGTCCCAGATACCATTTTATGTCCGTAGTTCTGTTACCCACAAATAGAGCTGCACATTTATCTTGATTACTCATAAAAATACCAATGCTCAGGGTCTAACCTAGAACAATTGAATCACCGTCTCAGAGGAGGAACCTAGATATTATTATAAAGCTCCTCAGGTGATTCTCATATCTATAATTTTTTCAAAAACTAAGGTACTGCCTGTATTTAGCTATTACAGATTCTAGAATTCTTGTTTTCTTGCCCTAGTTCCTGGAGCCTATACAACTCCCTTGCTTGGACAGATTGTACATAGCTTATCCATTGTAGGATCTTTAACTACAGGTTATTTTCTCCCTCCTCATTCATTTGTGCCTCTCAGATCAAATGGTCCCCTACTCCATGCCACATGACTGGCTTTGATGCCATCTGCAGGAGGCAAGTGCCCACACCTGGACAGGATGAAAGGTACCGCAGTGCCTTATCTTCACATCTAATTTCTTACACAGAGAACTTTAGAGGAGATTTCCCAACACAGTGCAGCTAGATGAGGTGGAAAAAGTGAACAAGATAGTCACAGTCATCCTTTGCCCTTTCTTCTTCCTGAAGGGGCAATCTGTGGTACATTTTTGGAGGCTTTCATGTATAAGATGGCTTTCCTTATCGACAATAGCCAGATCATGGAAAGAGCCCAGATTTCCATCAACAGATGAATGGAGAAAAAAGTCATGATGTATGTATACAATAGAATACAACTCAGCCATCAAAATGATGAAATCTTGCCCTAGGCAACAATGTGAATGGATCCACAGTGTATTATGCCAATTGAACCAGTCAGAAAAAGACAATACCACATGATTTCACTCATATGTGGAATTTAAGAAACAAATACATGAACATGGGGGGAAAAGAAAGACAAAGGCAAATCATAAAAGAGATTCTTAACTAGAGTGAACAGACTAAGGGTTGCTGGAGGGAAGGTGCGAATGGTAAATGGGTGATGGGGTGAAGGAGGGCACTTGTAGTGAGTGCTAGGTGTTATATGTGAGTATTGAATCAGCAAATTCTCCTTGATCATAACCTGAGGATTTTTTTTAAGAGAGAGAGAGAGCAAGTGTGTGCAGAGAGGGGCAGAGAGAGGAGAGACGGAATCTTAGGCTCCAAGCTCAGGACAGAGCCTGATGTCGGGCTCCATCTCACAACCCTGAGATTATGACCTGAGCCAAATCAAGAGCTGACGATACTTAACCCACAGGGCCTCCAACCTGCCGCATGAGACATCTTTTAAAGCCTGGTATATGACAGCAAATCCCTTTGCTTCCTTCTGAAACAGGTGGTGCACTGAAGGAATTCAGTCTTCTTTGAAATACTGGTAAATGTGAATTTTTCTTATTCTCTTTTCAACTATATGAGGTTTAAAACAAGCAGACACAATATTCAGTGACTGGGGGGAGCTTCATGCATGAAACCATCTTAGTTGGTTTCCTATGAGTTTAGGTAAATTGAAGTAAATTGCTGTTTTTGTCCAAAGTGGGGGATTTTTTTGCCTAAAATTTATGGGGCAGTGGCACTGGGGAGGCTGCCAACTGCTCTTACTTCTCAATTTTTTCTTCCTTCCCCCTTAATATATCTATTATGCTAAAGGTACAGTCTTCTCCCTCTTATCTTCCTTCTGAGGCAAGTTGAATAATATATTCATTTTGTCCTTCATGAAACTTTCAACTCATACATGGGACATGTGTCTGAGTCCACTTGTGCTGGACAAGTTCATACACTGAAAACAAAAGGCACGTGAACAGCTGGGATTCACAGGCTGCCTCTCCTGCTCTTAATCTCTGCTCAGGAGAACGTGCAAGACGAGAAATCTAGGGTGGGAGACCTGCAGGGCTGCAGAGTAATTTCAACTGTATACTTCAATTCCTTTTTCCTCAAATGTCCCACATCAGAAGAACTGATCTGCCACAGAAGCCTCAGATGGCATCTATGTCAGTAGTTCAGAGAGCTACTCTAAGAGCAATACTCTCTTGACCAGAATAATGGAGCACTTTGTGCACTCTCCAGATTGTGTCTTCCGTTATTGGCATTGAATGGTGCTACCCTCAGAGTTTCTGTCACTACTGATAAAAGGAAGATTAGATTAGGGTGGGAAAGGTAAGCCCAAAAGCCAACTGTGAATGCAAACGGCCTTCATATTTGACCCTAAGATCTAAGACTCGGGGATTGTTACTCTCACATTTCCAATATATGTATATATAATATATACATATATCATATAATATACAGAATTGTATATTAGAATATGAAAAATTATGTCAAGATCACTCAGCAGTAATGGGAATTGAATTCAAGTCTTTTAGTTGCCAAAACTCCAGAAACCAGATTGTGAAGGAGGTTAGTTCATCAGGGAAACAATGGCTGATTAAATCTTAGCCTTCCTCAAAATCTCCAGTTGTCACCCACTTCTCTTATTTAAATTATAACTTAAGGCATTGCCCCGGGGGGGGGGGGTCTCAGTCTCACTTCTGTTAGTCTTCTTCACTTTGTTACAGTTTTATTAACATGGAAATGACATATTACACCCTGTAAATGAAAGGTGCACAACAAAATGACTGGACACACAGAGATATTGAGAAACCATTACACAGTGAGACCTGGTGTCTCCCCTGCCTACTACACACGTCCCATCCTTCAGCCGGGGACCCAAGTCAGGCTACGCTCATACCCACCTGACAGTTCCTCAAGCAGACCATTGCCCAGGCTTGTGTACAAACAATAGACTCACCCTCTTGGTGGTGAGAACAGACAGTGACAGAAGGTCTCCAGCTGGAATCAATTCCTGCTGGGAATTTACACTACAGTTTCATGAGATGCTCCCATTGCGAGGAATGGAGAGAGGAGGCAGGACAACTGTGGGTGTCATTTCTTACGACTGTCTCAAATCTACAATTATCTCAAGATAAAAAGTAGCAATTTAGGCTTTAAGGAGAGCTTTGATCTAAACAGTGTCCGATGAGCCTACGTGCTCCAGTGCAGCTCAATACCCAGGCTCTCGGCCGCTACCTGATTGCACTTCCCAAAACTGTTCTTCTCTGCTGGCTCTGATTCTCTTGTCCTTTCCAACTCAATCGCTTGGAAAGCTTACATGTATTTTCTCTATCTTAGGATCTATAATTACTCTTATTACCCTTTCCCATCCTCATTCTTCTCTGCGCAGGAGATCAAATTGCCCCCAAGCCTCTCGCTGAGGACACAGAACACACGACAGACAGCACAGCATCTTATGTGCCACGGACCATCTGTTTTGTGCCACCAGGCTCCTCACCAAGAGGCCAGTGAAGGAAAAGCCTCTGGCAGGTGGGAGTGGCTGAGAAAGACAGATGAGCAACCTAGACACAGTGCCTAGAGCTGAACACCTCCCTGTGTCCACTGCCTTCTCCGTCTCAGGTCGGTGAGGGGACACTGACAAAGGCAGGCCTGGGGCAGGGCACCGCTGCGA